GCGTGTGGGCAAGGGACTTTGCGCGACTGCCCACGTGGTCTGGCTCCGCGAGGAGGGCCACATCTTGGCCAGCGCTCGCTTGCCGGCTCGGCTGCGCGCTCCGTCTTCGTGAGGGCGGTGTAGGCCGCCACGGCCGTCTCGGGTTCGTTCATGTTGCTCGGGGTACGAGGGGTCTTCGTACCCTGCTTCTCCACCAATCTCGTGAAGCTCCGGACTCGCTGGGGTCCGCGGGCTGCACGCGCGTGCTTGAATGTGAAAAGGGTTGTGATTATCTGAGTTACTAGGCTTGACTATGGCGAGCGGGCGCGCTGATTGGTCGGATGGGCTGACTGTGCGTGTCTTGTGGGGTACCGGGGCAGACTGGACCGTCACCAAGTGCCTGTGCCCCGGGGCATCGGGGTTCTTGCCCGCCAGGCGTCGTTTCGTGTCCTCGTCGCATGCTTCGTGCCCCGGGGCATGATGGAGCCTGGAGCCTTGCTGTCCTCCAGCGTCATTTCCGAGCGCGTTCCTCGATCCGTTTCTGGGCTCTCACGACACATCAAGGGTGTATAATAATTTATTATATACCCTTGCTTTCATGCAGTGAGATCTCGAAGACTAGCCTGAAGACTAGCTAACTTATCAGCTAGGCTTCGAACTTCGGCGAGTTCACAAATGAGCTTGCATACCAAGTAGAAGCACCGCTTATCGCTGATGGCGGTAAGCGAATGGTCGCGCTGAATGCCATAGATCATACGGTACTGCTGCGACGTACTATTAGTACAGTATTTCATAAGCTGGGTCGTGTCCTCACCCCTGTGCCAAGGACGACAGTACAGGGTCACGTACAGTGCCGCGTTTGCGGTCTGTGTGGGTTGCTGCCTTCTCGTGCATGCGCTTGGCCGCGAGCTGGCGCAGATCTTCGTGACGTCCACGGGAGTCAAACCCGGCTTGTTGAGCTTGTCGAAAGCGGCCTGGCAGTCCGTGTTGGACCAGATCTTGAGGCCGACCTCCTTGAGCACGTCCGACGACTGCGAGCCACCCGACGAGGTCGGGCCCCAGCCGCGGGCCATGCCGAGGACACCGGGAGCACCGGCGGCGTCCTTCTCGTCGAAGAGAACCTCAATCGGCGTCACGGTCGTCGCGTTGGCGAGCTCGAGCTCGAGGATCGCAAGTCCAGGCATTTTGCATGCAGCACAGCAAATGACTGCGTCATTTGGTTGATTACTTGATGCGCACAGCGTACTCGGTCTCTGGCCACGAGGTCTACTGCAGCCCGTGGCCCCGCGAAGGTTAGAGACGCTTGTCGCGGATTGCAGTGGGAGCGCAGAGGTAGACGCTGCCTTTAAGAAGCGGGAAAAGCCAAATACGTACAGGCATTCCTATAGACGCGAGGTACTTCACAAAGTCCTCGTGATGTCGGCCCCTGGCCTATCAACAGCTATCGTATACAAGAAAGTATCACAGTACAGCTACGATACGAGAAGTCACACCGGCGATGCTACGAGGACAAACAAATGGATTTAGTCGAGAAGTTAGTAGGTACGACTGCAAAGAACCTGCGATCCATGTCGATAGGTTCTATACACACTGCTCGAGGACTTATCTTAGCAAGCCGGCTTGGGGAGGTACGGCGCGAGAAACTCCTTGGCCTGCGAGAGGCGCGCATAGACACTGGGAATACCAGCCTCACCGCAGACTACACCCCAGCTCGTGAGCCCGACGAGCACGTCCTTGCCGTTCTTGGTGACTGTGAGCGGGCCGCCCATGTCGCCTTGGCACGTGTCCTCGCCCTTGACGCCGCCGGCACAGATCATCGAGGTCGCCACCACCGGGATTGACGGATCGTTGAGCTTGGTGAACGCGGCCTGGCAGTCCGTGTTGGACCAGATCTTGAGGCCGACCTGCTTGAGGACATTGGACTGCGGGCTCGTAAGGCTCGTCGTGCCCCAGCCCCGGGCGACACTCGTGACACCGGGCGCGTTGGCCGCATCATCTTCAAACGAAATCTCGATCGGCGACACTTTGGATGGCGTCTCCAACTCGAGGATCGCGAAGTCGTAGGCCATCGTCTCCATGTTGAACTTGGGGTGCGACACGATCTTCTTGACCTTGATGCGCTCGCCGTCTGAGGTGCCGTTGAGGAAATGAGACCCGACCGAAGCATACAAGGCCCAGTCGCCGTATGCGCATTGCGCCGTCGTGAGCACGGCCGTCGGCGAGATGAGCGACCCGCCACACTCGTTCTTTTTGATTTCTGTTTGGCGCAGGCCGGTCACGTAGAGGTGCTTGCCGACCTCGGCCTCGTTGCCGCCAATGACTTCGATGGCTTCGGTCCGAGTGGCGCCGTGGTGACCCTTGAAGTACGAGGTGGGCGCCGCGAGGGCCACCGAGGCGAGGAGCGCGAGGGACGCGATGTGGACCATACTGAGACGATTCGAAAATGAAAAGCGAGGATGCGGGTGCTGTATGGGCGCATCACTGTACCACGACGCACATTGAAGTTGCTCCAAGATAGGGTCGACCGTGGCCCAACCCGCTGTCATCGGCCCACAGGCGCTGTGCAAATCACCACATGTCGGCAAACATATGGTCCACCTGAGGCGAATTCGAGAATCATTTCCGAGGCCAACAGCAGCAGCGCTTGCTTCTGGAGACAAAAGAGGAATTGATCAAGGTGGCGTATGAGTGTGTCTTGTCGCTCTGAAAATAAGGATAGGACAGCATGCCTAAAGATGATTATACCGTGGTACACTCAGTTCAACATCAGCATGTTTGCAAGCAGGTCTGCACGTGTCGTCGACCAAGAGGTCGCATGATGACGCGTTGGATGCGCATGCGCTCGCTCCATTCACCCATGACATGCAAGCATTCGATAAAGCCCAAGATACATGAGCGTTGGGTGGAATCGCAACAAGCTACTCTCTCGACACGCGCCAGACAGCACGTCCCACAACACATCTGGTTTATCGGAAGCAGCTGCGTATATCACATCTGCAGTTCCCACGATTTGTGTGTTGTTTCATTCGCACATCTACCTCGGCGGCAAAATGCCATCGATTCTCAAATCCCGCAATGGGTCGCCGCGTGGAACACCAATGGAGATACTTTTGCTACTTCGCATTGGACTCTCGGTATGTTGCAATAGTTGCTCGAAGAGCGCCCTGCCTCTTATCTAATACTAGTACTGTAGTTGTAGACAGTATGTGCAAGCTAGATGGTCCATTGAAAACATCTGATCGAAGAAAAGGGTCGATGTATACGAATGTTCTCCATCGAAAAAACGGCGTGGTCCGAAAGCGCAGAACAAACGATGGGCCGCTGGCTCCTCTGCGGCACGCTCACGTCGCTCTTTGGCGCCGTCTTTCTCAGTCTCCTCGGGTACATCCTCTCCTTCCAGCCCGACTATGTGCCCGGCCTCAAGCGTTCCATCGCCCCAGCCGCCCACGCGGCCAACTGCTGGGTCGGTGCGATGGCGTATCTCACGTCGCTCGTCGTCTGCATCGGGCTCTCGTGCTGGGAGCGGCGCCGGCAAGTGCTCGACAATGACGCCAAACTCAATCCCGTGTACGAGCTCAAAACCCTCCAGCGATCGCTGGATTCTTGGGAGGACCTTGGGACGCCGCCTCGCCTCGTAGACGACGACGAACATATCATGTAGTTACTCCACTCGGTAAGGAAAGCACTCCAGTACACCCACCCGGAACACTCAAATATATATCCGTGATTGTACGAAGCTGGCTGAACCGTTCTTGCGCGAGGAATGATGCTGCGACTGTTCTTGCACAGAGGCCACCGCATGTCCTCACAGGCTCTCGCGAACAGAAGCGTGGTGCTCGACTGGAGGCATTACTTTCTTCTTACAGGCTTCATATATAAGCTTTGCAGTCTTATTTTGCGGCTAGCACTTGTAGACAAGGATGCCAATCTCGCCCACGTACATGTAGAGCATGTGTCGCTGCTGGTAGCTAATGTCAAAGCCGTAGCCTTCGCCGATGAAGCAGTGCCAGAAGGATCCAAACTTCTTGTCCATGCTTTGTTTGATGAGCTGCGCGGCCGCTTCGTAGTTTTTGAGCGGCACGTGCTTGTCGACCGCCATCGTGATGATCTCGACCGTCTCGGTGCACACCTCGGCCGTCATGTCGTTGTGCTTGATGAACGGCCGCGACGAGATCTTGCGGTACTCGGCGTCCGAGAGCTCGTTCGCCGGCGGCTCTGTCTTGGCGTCTGGCATGGCGCTTCAAGTTATGCGATCTTGAAGCGACACCACGTTCTCGACGTACACTATATTGCGCATAATCACATTGCGGGTGTTGGATCGACCAGAAATGGATCGCTCTGCACGCAGCGCAATAGAACCACGTCCTAGTGCTAACAAGTTCCACCCTTTCTAGTGCAGCGCTATGCATGCATTGTATTTGCGTTAGCTACATGTAGTGTGTTACCTTGCTTTCGACGCACACGAAGATAGAACACTATTTGCATCGGAAAGACGACCTTCCGCATTTAGGGCCTAAGTGGGTCGACGCGACGTGGCCGTGGTGGGCCTACCGGTGGGTGGGCCAAAGAAATCCAATCAAGTGAAAGGAACCATGAATGAAGCGAGAATCAATTTTGCATGTGGCTCGAGGTGAATCTTGCTTGCAGGCAGCGCAGACCCCACTGGCGATCTGCAGCACCACGTTCAGGCTGTGCATTGCGGAGAAACGTGCGGTGGGCTGCTTGATGTCGATGGTCCAGTTGTCGTTGAGAGAGCTCTCGACTCGCTCCTGTGGGCTACCGACACGCGGAAGAGCTAATGTCTGCCCATGTCCTTTCTGACGCAGACAAAAGGAGTGTAAAATGCAATATCTGCGTTGATGCGCTAGGCTATTCGGCTTTACGCGGCTTGGGCCGCTTCCCGCCACGTGGACTGCCTTCGCCCTTGACGAGGCTCACCATCTCGTCGCTGTGCATGACCTTGGCGTTCATAATCTGGCTCTTGATTGCGCCGAGGACCGAGCTCGACGGCTTGATTTCGCGCAAGTCGTTGTCGTCGTCCGCGTCGAGCTTGAGGCGCTCCAGCTCATCGTCGGTCGTCACGACGCCGTAGCGCAAGGCGGCTTCTTCTTGGTGCTTGCGCAAGAGGTAGTACGAGCCCGCAAACGTGAGGCCGTACAGAAGCGCTGCGTACATGCACGAGTTCTTGGCCGTCGGCGCCTTCTTGTGGTGGTAGCCGCGAATGTACTCGGGCTGCGCGCTCAGGAGGATGGCGATGATGGTGAGGTAGACCATCCCAACGACCGAGAAGCCGGCGCAGCATGTCAAGCACCCGACTTTGCCCATGGCTGTAAATCCCGACTGTTCAAATTTGGGTTTCGCCATCTATTTTTAGAAACCTCTATCAATCGATAGATGCAATGTGACAGGCAACCGAAAAATAGCGACAACATGGGACACATTCGTTCCTTGAACCACGGAAATTGTTTTATAACTCCTTCCTTTAACAAAGACCGAGTGCTTTGAGCACCGAATGCATTGGTGCCTCACCTGCCCGGTGGTGACAAGGCGGGTTTTGCTTATGCTACGGGCTGCAACACGGAAAATGGCTCGGGGTTCGTGCTCAGGTTTGTGCTGATTGGATTTCGTGACCCTTGAGCCTTCTCGCAGAACGCCGTTTCTACTACTTCAAAATGGTCCACGCATCACAATTTGGTTGTCGTGGATAGGAAGCTGGTGCTCTACCATACGAGACGGGTTGAACGGGATGCCGGCACAAACTTGCTGGTAAGGATGCCAAATTTAAATGAACATTACGTAGTGGCTTTAGGATGTGGAGAGTAAACAATCTGTGCCCTTAGGGTGCGTTCGGTTCGCCGCGTACTTTCAAAGCACGTATCGCAAATCCGCATAACTTCGATTGCATGGTTTTTCGATACGTGCTTTTTGTTACGCGGATGGAAAAATCGCGTTCGGTTCACCAGTGTACGCCGACTTTCGGACTTTTAGGACAGCGCATGGATGGCCCTGCGCGACGCTCCCCGGCGGCAAGCGTGGGTCCTCGATGCGATGAGTGGCGTCGTACAGCAGAGGCGCTTGCGACGTCTATCGATGGCGCATACCTTCTATGCGCTACTCCTCCTCCCACGTCTCGTGTCGTCATCGCTAGCCGCTGCTTGGTGGCGCGATGAGATAGCCGGCGCCCGACGTTGGCGATAGCGTCTGCCATGTCGATAAGCAAGACACACGAGCGCGTTCTGCGTGTGCAGCTGAAGCATCGCAAATCGCATCGAGCGCGCCCGTCCTCCGCGGCGGCGCGCGCTCCCCGGTCCTTCCAGGCGTGTCTACTTGGCGCGCTGCGGCCATGGGCGCGGCAATGTCGATGCTGGAAATCAAATCAGGGATCTGTGAAAAAAGGACCCAAATTAGGCTTTTTCGATCGAGGGCAGGATAAATCCCAAAGTACGCCGTTGTCTTTTCAAAAAACATCTCGGCCGGCCAGCCGAGGCGTTTTTTGAAAGTACAGTCAAAACGCGGTTTAATAGCCGGCTTTTGTTAGGGGTAGGCGCCACTAAACGACCTCGCTTCAGCAAATCACAAACAGCCAATCAGGGTTCACGATCGAGCGAATCTAACCAATCATGAGTCAATTTTGGGGGCTTCAGCCAATCGCATCGCTTCGAGCGATTTGGAATCGGTATTCCACATGGTTTTTGTTGGGTACACGACCGGGCACATGGTCTTCGTCGACCTTCGTATTGGATTTCAACCAATCACAAAGCCCCGAGCCCGAGAACCCTAGCAGGAGGATTGCGCCCGCGACGCAAGCGCCTGACTGCTGACAAACAAGCCGAGATTGTCGAGCTTCTTAAGACAACGATGTCCGCGAGCGCGATGATACCGTCGACATGCCTTTCGATCGACCGCTGCGCACAGCGACGATCGACGTCCCATCAAGCCAGCGTGCGCTGTCAGCGAGCGAGAGCCTGCGTGAGTACTTCGCATGGCATGAAGACGACGACATGCTCGCCAAGCTCAACGCCATTGTCCAACGCATCGAGACCAACGCGAGCCACACGATGCCCAGCGCGGTCTTTCACATTTCAGCTCATCCCTAAAGCGGCATCATGTGACATTGAATAAACTTGTTTTTGTATACATTCGAAACCATGTGATTTAGCCTTTCTGTCCAGGGCTGTTGAAGGAGGCAGTGAGTACCACTTCTGCCACTAAACGACCATGGCTGCTAATCCGCGTTTTGACTGTACGTGCTTTGGCGGCAAAGTACGCCAAGTCATGCGGATTTGAGCCGAATGCCCCGCGTGACATATTTTTTTCGAAGTTACGTGGATGGGCTCGAAGTACGTGAAAAGCACGTGCTTTGGGCGAACCGAACGCACCCTTAGTAATCGAAGAGGAGAAGAAAGAAGGAAGAGGCGTTCGACGCTCGAAAGGCGCGATCGAAGGCGCTTTGTATGCGGATTCCCTTAATTTCGAGCAGTCAATGCCCCGTCTCCTATAATGCAGAACGATTGATGAGGTACAAGCATGGTGCTGCCTTCGTCAAAAAGACATGACACACGTTGCAGTAGATATGATCGATCTTTATTTGCAAGTACATAGCAAGGGTACATAAATTCGATATATATAATTTATGTACCCTTGTACATAGCCGCTACGTTCAGCAATGTGTATGAGATGGTACAATACATGTGTCGTGAGGCGCCACGCAGAGCTGCCAGGGCTTGGGGTCTCGGGATCGCGCGAATGCTGCTCCAAGGTGTCGTCGAGAGTTGCAGTCGTGCAGCGGTCGCCAAGACGTGGTGATAGCTCATCAAGCTACCCGGGTATGTTTCTCACGCTATCCGCTTCGGCTATCAGTCGTAGCTATCAGCTCCTGCTACTATCATCGGCGGGGTTTGGGCGCGTAAAGTCAGAACACCGTAAAATGTCGTGATAGTTGCTATATCTCAACATACCTGAGCCGATGCCTTGAAGTTCATTTTCAAATCGTCCAAGCATGATTCGCATCACGTCCCTCGCGCTCCTTGCCTTGGCCACTATCGCGGCGCACACCTCGTACCTCAACAACCAGCACAACGGTACGCAGACGACCGAAGGCATTGAAATGATTGGCGGCAACGAGGCCGAGGTCGGCAAACACCTCTACGTGACCGGTCTCCGCGTTTCTGACGCGGATGTCAACTACTGCGCCGGGTCTCTCATCTCCCCAACGGCCGTGCTCACGTCGGCTTCGTGCGCGTATTACAACTCGCCCACGTCCGTCTCCGTGGGGTCCCACTATAGCGAAAGCAGCGCGGACGGCGAGCGCATCAAGGTCAAGACGATCGTGGTGCACCCCAAGTTTAGCACGGAGACAATGGCCTACGACTACGCGATCCTCGAGTTGGAGACACCGACCACGATCTCACCGGTCGAGATTTGGTTTGAAGATGATGCGGCCACCGCACCCGGTGTCATGGGTGTCGCCCGGGGCTGGGGCTTTGCCTCTTCAGACAGCGAAATGCCAAAAGTCCTCAAGGAGGTCGGCCTCAAGATCTGGTCCAACAAGGATTGCCAGGCCGCTCTCGGCGAGCGCAGCAAACTGCCCGTGGACATCGCAAAGGTTTGCGCTGGCGGTGTTCGGGGCGAGGGCCCGTGCGATGGCGACCTCGGTGGCCCGCTAACGGTCTCCAAGGACGGCAAGGACGTGCTCGTCGCTCACCTGAGCTGGGGCGTTGCTTGCGCCAAGGATGGTCTCCCGAGTGTGTACAACCGCCTCTCGTCCGCCAAGGACTTTCTTGCGCCGTACCTCCCCAAGCCGGCGTGCTAAACGATGGAATTGTACAGCATGGATCGCTGATTTTAGCTCGAATTTTATGGGAGGTTCGCATCAAAGAAAGACACATGTGTTGTTGTTGTTGTTGTTGTTGTTGTTGAAATGAGTGAACAACATGCAATTTTACGTGTACAGACAAGTATATCAATCAATCAATCAAACGTGTTCGCGTTGAAATCGAATTAGCACAAAAACCAACAGACAAAACTATAGTAATTGCACTCCTCTGTCGGGTGGTCCGAGTACAGAAGCCTGCGTGCGACCTCGCGCGAGCTATCCCTCGACGAGGGGGTCCACCACGGGACGAATCTCTCCGTATTACGCAGCTCACTCCCATTGACCAAGTGCTGGTGTCAACTCCCACGCATTCAAGCGAAGTCTTTGTAATGAAGCAGAACACGTTTATATATATCGACAAGGATGGTGGACTACTTATGCGCTCGTGCGGCGTGGCCGATGCGTCAAGCGAGGAGTAGCAGTGAGGGGGAAATATTGTGCGAGGAGCAAGGTAGCTGTGTTGAGAGTACACTGTCGATCGAGTGCTTTGCGGTGGAGTTTCCAAAATACCATACCAATGGTACGTCAACTGAAAAAACCCATTTCTGCACGGCAACTAACTGTAGGGTTTACTGGTCTTGACTACACCTCATCTCGGAACGACTCGCTACTCAAGCGACGTACGTTTCTCACGTTGTTGTCGTCGTCGTCGGTCTCGTCGCTGGCAGTGGCCTTGGCCGCGAGAATGGCCAGCACCGTCGCGAGCGCAGCCCATTTTTTCCACGCCTTTTGGACGTGGTGTCGATGGCGGTAGAGTCCGTAGCCGAGACAGAATGCGAGAAACGTGAGCCGCTTCCAGCGCCAGCCTGGCCCACGGACGAGGCTCTCGCTGCTGCCCACGTGGTCTTCTTCCAGCACGGGCGTCCTACATGTATCAACATGTTGATACAATCGGAGATTTCCAAACGTACAAGCCGGAACGCAGCGTCTTGGCACTGTTCTTGCGCGAGACGCTTGCCAACTCGCCGACGAGCGACGGCGGCGTCGACGTGAATGAGATTTGCGGCGTGTGGTGCATGTGACGGCCGAGCATCGTCTGCATGTCCGAGACTGAATAGTTGCGGTTGCTCTACCGGCAGTGGATAGATGGATAGATAGATATTCGATGGATAGATCCATCGAGAGATGGATCGATGGATGTCATACCTTGGTCAGCGCGAGACGGATGTTGTTGAGGAGCGTCACGACCTGCAGCTGGTCTTCGAGAAAGTACTGCGCTTGCGTCGCCTTGTGTCCGACCGTGCACGTGACGACTACAGACAATACTGTCCACAAGTGTGGACAATCGACGAGGACGAACCTGTCGGGATATGGATCGCCTTGGAGAACGCGTCGACGGCTTCAAACATGAGCTCGTCCGCGACGTCGTCGCCCATGGCCAAGACAAAGTCGAGTGGTGTTTCCGAGTCTTTGTGGAGTTTGTTGAGGATTTGGCCGACAATCTTGCCCTTCCCGAGACCGTCGGGTCGCACTTCAATGTAGTCCTTGCCTTGGATGATGCTCAGAGGCCAATTCTACCTCATTTATCGCGATTTTCAATCGTTTTTTTGAAAAATCGAGTACCGCGAGCTGCGCTTCGAGCTGCTCTTTGAGGTCCATGGCCTGCATAAGCCCGTACTCGGGGTCAGACTTTGCGTAGCGAAATAGAATCGAACTCCGGCGCATCTCGAGCGCTGACCCGTTCGTGCGGTCCACGTACACTTGCATGATGGCTTGGGCTTTCTCGCGCCACTTGCCACACGCGGCGTTGACGCGAAACACGTCGCCGTAGAGTTCCCACGGTCTACACAGCGATCGCATCGTTCGTCCTCAAAGAAAGACGATAGAATCCACGTACTTGTCCATACGGGCCGAGTGGCCAAGGTACGCCCAGCGCAAGAAGTACCCGTGCTCGGCCACGAGCCCCAAGCCGGGCACGGACCCAAACTTGTCCGAGAGGAGCTCGCAGTTGCAGCCGCTCACGACAAACACCGAGTTGCGCTTGTCGCGGCAGAGGATCTCGAGGCTTGAGAGCACGCTCACGGGCACGTCGGGCCACACGATGCCAAAGTCGGACGAGACGTCCGGCGCCAGCGTGCGGTAGTAGTCGAAGAAGAAGACGCGGCGCGAGCTCTTCCGGTACAAGTCGAGAAATTTCTCTTCTTGGAGCAGCGTAAGGACGACGGGCGACTCGGGCAAAAAGTGAGTCCCGGCCTTGACGATCGCCGCGGCTTTGGCAATGTCCGAGACGACGCAGTACGCCCAGCGCACGGGCGAGTGCGCACTGATGGTGACGAGGTCGCAGTCGCGTCGAAACTCGCGCTCTTTTGCGGGCATCTGCACAGCCGTGGCCAGTGCTTTGGCGATCGCGGTCAAGTCCCATGGGTTGACCACCAACGCGCCGTGCAGTAGGCGGCTGCTGGCCGCGCGTTCGCTCAAAATGGCAATCCCAGTGGCATTTCTATTCTCCAAGTCGAGTGAGAACGCATATGGACGATACGAATATCGAGGGTACCGATGGGCCACAATGTACTCGAACGCGCTAATGTTGAGGCCTTCCTGGAGCACAGTGGACAGAAAGACTTCGGCCACGCGCCAGAGCGCGAGACGCTCGGCGCAAGTGAGGTTGCGCCGCGTGAGATGAAAGACAACCACGGGTTCTGAATACTTGGCATTGAGTCGGTCGACGACCGCTTGCACTTGCTAGAGAGGGTGGCATATCAACCATTACCGATGATCGTCCAAGAGCACGCAGTTTGCATGCAATCCAACCTCGTAGTACTCGGGCGTACCGAGAAACTTGGTGAGCACGCCAAATTGGACCAGCACGATGCGCGTCTGCTGCGCCGGGTTGTTGTCTAGAAACTATATCATCGTTTATACACCATGTAGGGGATGGAGAATATTGTCGTACAAGCTCCAAGGCCGCGAGCTTGCCAAGGACGCCATGGAACGGGTCCAGCACGTCGACGCCCGCAAACAGCATTTTGCGCGGGTACGCTTGGCGGTACGCAATGACTTGGTCGGTCACAGCGGCCGTCCCGAGCTGCTTTTCCAGCTAGCCGAAACCAAATTATCAATGTATCAATTTCGTACATCTAGGAGACACAAGTACCCTTGCACCGTCGACCGTGAGCTGCGAACACGTGATCGCGATGCGTCGGCCGCCGTACTCGATGCCAAACTGGCCTTGCACCATCGCAGGCGACGAGATGCCAAGGAGGACCTTGCACGCGGACAGAAAGTTCTTGGCATGTCTACCAAAGCATCGTACATCATCAACGTCCCCACAAACAAAGTACTCGTAGAGGTGGAAGCCAATCAAATTGGCTTGGAGCATGCTCTTGAGGAGCTCGGCGCGCGTGCTTAAGATCCGAAACACGCTCAGCGCTGGAAAGGGCACGTGGAAGAAGAGCCCGACGGGCGGCGGCGTCAAGCGCAAAAGCCGGTGCAGATACATGGGTACAAAGCTCACCTGGTAGTCCTGGAGCCAAATGTGGTCGCCGGGCTCATACGCCTTGGAGAGCGTCGTCGCAATGTCCCGGTTGATGTTGAGCATGGCTGGCCACGCGGCTGGCGCCTGCTCGAACGCGCCGTGCATGCCATCCGGGTGCACGATGCCATGAAACGCGGGCCAGAGCGATTGCTTGCAGAACGCGTCAAACACAATTCGGTCAGCGTCGTTCGTGATAAAGACGGGCGTGCAAAAGAACTCGGCGCAGACCTGCCACGTCTCATCAACGCGGCCCATGGCTACCATCGTCGACGTACCCGGCCCACCTCGGCCTCTTCGTGCGGCGCAATCTCAAAGGGCACGTCGAGGCATCCCACGAACTTGATCTTGCGCCGCGTCGAGCCAACGCGGAAGAGGTCTTCGTGCGAGAACGCGTGCGTCGACGCCAAGAGCGCGTCGCCGGTCGGCTCGGCGCGGAACTTGCCGTGGCCTTCCTTCACCAGCAGCAATGGCAGGTAGTAGGCGCAGATGATGAGCGGGATCTGCGACGGCGGCGTTGACGGCTGCAGCACGGCGCGGTTGCGCATGCCCGTCACCATGGACGGACGGTGCACGGCCCGCGGATCCATGGCGAAAAGTGCAAGATATGTGTGTCGGCGTATACGGAAAGCGTCCGGATGGTGTTGAGTCGACAGGCAAAGCGAGTGGCCACCACGGTGATGCCCACGACCAAGGGCATCAACATTGTTGTATGATTCCCTTGACCACCACGATGGACGTCGAGTCGTCGTCGCGCGCGATGATTCGATTTTTGCCACGCTGGCATGGACGGTGAGATTGCACTTGCGTGACCACAGAAGAAAGGGTGGCAACGGTCGAGGAGACCTGGCGAGGCGACCCTCTTGCAGAGGTGGTCACTTCGCCATGATATTCTGTGGTGGGTGATGGAGGCGAGCGACGGCGTGGCGGCCAAGACACGAGATTATCGCCGGTGGCTGCCACGCAGTGGACCGCTTTAGGTGGTCCAACTTCAACCATGTGGGAATCCTCATCACATGCTCCAGTCTTGGGTGACGTCCAGTTGTGGCAGAGTCTGGTCTGGTTGCGGGACTCGGCAGGGTGTCGATATATCGGGTGACGATCTGTCTGGTGTCAGTTGAAGGTGTCAGCATTATTTTCGACGCCTCAGTGGTCGTTGTCCCGATAGTAGCTGCGACGTCGTCGTCGTCGTTGTTGGATCTGATTTCCTTGAACATGGTGACGGGTGTTCTCGGTGTCTTCTGAGCGAACGCAACCACGGGTTCGATCCTACGTGACGGCAAACAGAAATCAGGTTCTTTCCAATAATACCGACGACAATTATGTATGTACTAACGTAGTCTACTAACTTCACGGTCGGACGCGCAGTCCATCGCGTCGTTTAAAAGGTTACCGACTGACGGTCGTCGTCCGGTGCGACGTTGTAGTTGTTGTTGCGGTTGCTACCGTGGTTTGTGGTCGTCGTCGTCGTGAGCAGATGCATGTCTCGGTTCGTCACCACGGGCGGCGGCGGCATCTGGCTCGCTTGGACCATCGCGGGCTTGGCGCGGTATGGCGACTGCGGCGCGTAGCCCGACCCTTGCGGCTGGTACTGCTGCGGGCGCGGGTCGTGGTAGCCGATCGTCGGCTGGTAACCCGTCTCGACGTCGTACGAATGCGTCTGCTTGACGTCATACGGGCTCACATGCGTGCCCGAGACGGACTGCATCGAGTGCTTTCCGCTGCGGTGTTGGCTCTGGTAGATGTGGTCTTCGACCTCGTCGTCGTCGTCGCCGTCCCGCGTCTTGCGGATGAGCACGATCACAATGACGCCGATGAGCAGAAGGGCAGCGCCGCCGCCCACAAAGTACGGCCAGGAGCCAATACTACTCGACGTTTCGACGGCCGCGCCGTTGGTCGCCGTGTTGTTCTGGCTGCCCGAGGCTGAGCCCTTCGTGTTGGAGCCGCTCGGTGTGCTCGGCGTCGACGGTCGGCGAGAGCTACCGGACGGCGTGTTGGGCGCCGACGTCGGCGTGCCCGGCACAGATGTCGGGGTACCCGGCGCCAGCGTCGGTGTGCCGGGTGCTAACGTCGGCGTGCCGGGTGCGACTGTCGTCGACGCCACGGGCGTTGTAGGGACCGTGGACGTTGTTATACTGGGTGTCGTCGTCACGACGGTGCTCGTGCCGCAGTCGGACATGCCCTTGAACGGGCACGTTCCTGCTGTCGTGTACGCGTAGCACGCAACGCCCTGCGGCTGCACTTCGTAGCAGGGTGCTTGGAGGTTGCCAATGGCTTGGGCGGCCGTGAGTTTGTTGGCCGAGTTGAACTGCGCGCCTGCGTAGCAGCTCGTCGCTGCGCACGCGGTCGACGCCTGGGCGCCGACGCTGGACACGGCTGCGACGGCGAGGAGCGAGAGACGCATGCCTATTTGGTCAATGAGGCGGCCACTGCCAGCTTCGTTGCCAGAAGCTCGTCGAAACGCTGCACTGGATCTCGGGTTTCGAGCTTCGAACTTCGATTCCGTCGCAGCACGTGGCAGCACGAGCGCGCACAAACCACGACCACGCGATCCGACTGCAGCCGCCAACCCTTGCGCATTCGTCCGCTAGCGCATCGCACGAGACGACAATGCACGCACTGCATTGTCCACCGAGCGACGATCGCACCTCCGACAAGAGAGGGAGAGATACGCCGGCCGTTGCTAGAAGCCGAGGACGAGACGCGGCGCGTTCCCAGCTGGTGCAAACCGAAGTTCGAAGATCGAAAAAGCACATTCCAGCAGGCCAGGCGGCGCCGCCACGGCAGCGCGTCGGTCCATTACCAGCGACGAATGGCTGGCTCACCACGTTCGTTCAATCAATGTTCCTGCGTCGGCTTTGCCTCCCGCCGCCGGTCGCTGTCGGCGCGTGGCAATAGCAAGTGGCCGATCCTACGCCGATGTCTGGACCATTCATGGCTCTTCGCCTGACCATCCTGGTCTCTGTTTTTTGGAGTCGCTGGTCTCCTCCTCACAATTGGCTATATCACACACACATCACCGATATGCTTCCGGAGTAATACAAGCGTCCACTGAATTCTTCAGAGTCAAGTGGCCTACTCGGTCGGCGCGTGGGCAGCACCGATCGCGTCGTGGACCGAGGCAAAGCCATCGCGCTGCAAGCACGCCGCGAGCTCTTCCTTGATGCGCGGCTACGGTACATTGCACTTTCTTAGTCGGTTGCAATCAGATCTGCCAAGACGTACCACGGCCATCGGGCCATCGAACACGAGGCACGAGTACATTTGGACAAGGGTCGCGCCGGCGCGGATCTTCTCATACGCGTCTTGACCGGTCGCGACGCCGCCGACGCCAATGAGCGGGATCTTGCCTTGCGTGAGCGCATACATCGAGTGGAGCACCTTGGTCGAGATGTCTTTGACCGGCGCGCCACTAAGACCGCCCGTCTCCCCCTTGTGCTCGCTACGTCGTCGTTGTTTTAAATGGAGTCCTTTTCAAGAGGCGTCGGTGGTACCTATGGAGGGACTCAGGGCGCGAGATGGTCGTGTTGGACACGATGAGCCCGTCGATTTGCAGCGCGAGAGCAACGTCCGCAATGTCCTTTTGGTCCTCCAGCGTGAGGTCGGGCGCGATCTTGACGAGGAGCGGCAGCCGCTTCCAGAGCTTGTTGCGGGCCTCGAGGACCGCGGCGACGAGCGCCTCCAGCTCTTGCTTGCCCTACACACAAGGTCCTATATGACCGTGTCGATGCAACTCGAAACGTACTTGGAGCGAGCGCAGGCCGGGCGTGTTAGGCGACGAAATGTTGATGACCAGGTAGTCGCCGTACGGCCCGAGCTTCTCGACGCCAGCGACATAGTCGGCCTGCACAGACACTATTGTCATGCCGTTTATAGACAATAATGTACATACGATCGTGCTCGGCGACGTCTTGTTCTTGCCGAGGTTGATGCCAAGGGGGCCCGCGCGCACGGACGCGTACTGCGGCCGCTCAAGCGCCCAGTAGGCGTAGCGCTGGAGACGTTTCTGGACGACGTCGGCGCCAACGCTGTTGAAGCCATACCGGTTGATCACACCGCGGTCTTCCGTGAGCCGAAACACGCGCGGCTTGGGGTTGCCACTCTGCGCGAGCGGCGTCACGCTGCCAATTTCGACAAACCCAAAGCCCATGTCGAGAAGCCCTAGCCGAGCATCCTTCTGTACCGTCATCTTGATGGAATCGAGTCCTACCTTGCATGGCTTCGGCGTGCTTGTCAAAGCCGGCGGCAATACCCAGCGGGTTGTCGAACGTGAGGTTGAAGGCCGTGACCTGAAGGCTCGGGTCGTCGTGGCGCTTGTCCTGCATGGTATTGGTACATAGATCGTTGCTGCGAGGATGGCGCACCTTGGGAATGAGGCCATACTTGGCGGCCTTGACGGCGAGGATGTGCGCGGTCTCGGGGTCGAAGAGGCGCACGGCGGGCATGAGCACCGGGTCGCAGAGCGACTTGAGGAGGCGCTGGCGGTTAAAGTAGACGAGGCCGGCGCCGACACCGAGGAGAAGTGGCGTGAGCGGCGAGCTCGACCCCGTCGGGATCGAGCTCATGTGGCGCGCGGACGGCTGGCGGCGGCTTTGGGCGGCGAGCGGGCGGGCCACAGCACGAAACATGTTGAAGAGTACGTGTGATTGGCTCGAATCGTATCCAGTAAAGTGAAAACCCGTCGAATTAGATATGCAGAAAGTATGCTTTGTAAGAGGTTTAGATCGGGATCGGCTAGGTACTGCGAACCCAAGCTGCCTGGGAGAGTCTGACTCGACATCGTGCGCAGGGCTCTTGACGTCGTTGAACAAAGCAAGGACATTCGCTGCGCCCCAACAATGTGCTGCTTACTGATCACGTCATTGAAAGACGTTGACTGGTCGTCATGGCCAGCAGCCGGCGTGGAGCATATTAACCACGGGCAACGTTGTGCAGTGTAGACACCTCCGTCGTTTCTTGCATCCAAGAAGGCAAATGACTGCTTTGAGCTGTGTTGCGTCTCTATGAACGATGGCAGGACTCGTGTAATCGTCTGACGGGATGCAGTCTTATCAGGCTAATATGGCCTGCCATCGCTCATAAAAAAGCAAGAAGCCCATCTTGGGTGCGCTGCGGTGGGCAAGCTTGTCGGGGGGATGTTTGTGTGGTCGCTCGCTCGGACACTAATGCAAATATCGTGTTGGTCCAGTATTTTTCGGGTCCATGATGCTGCACTTTCTAGCGGTTTCGTAGCATTTCGAAACGCCGTTGCCGGTCGAGATGCGCCCCGCGTCGGCCCCTCTGCGTCATCCGCTGCGCAAGGCCCCCGGAGGTTCCAGTATCGCACCCATTTACCGAGGCTGCATGCGTCGATCGGTAGGCAGCCGTGGGCTCCCGAGTCCCGCCCTCGACTCGCCCGCCCGCCGCGCCCGCCGCGACGAGCCGTACTTGGCGCAGCTCCAACAGGTCAGAACGCGGCCTATTACACCTTGTTTGCATCTCAAAGGTGCAGTCGGCATCGTCCGTTGTGGAAGCGCGCGTCGCGGACCTGGCGCGGCAAACCCGCGATTTCGTCGACGCGACGTACTGCGGCACCTCCGACGAGGCCATTTGTGAAGCGTACACACATGTACTCGTGGCTCGCTTTGCCATATCGCCTAGGCCTCGGCGCAAACCACGGCCCGTGACGTGTGTACCGGGTCTCCGCCGCAAGCTCGAGGCATCGCGTGAGCTCTCTTCAATCGTCAAGCACCCAACGCGGCTTCTCGCCCAGCAGCTCCAATCTGCGCTCGAGACCCACATCTCGGGCCGACCAAACCAGACGAGCGACTTCCAGATGGCCCTTTTAGACCAGACCGACGACCACCACGCGTTTTTCCACAAACTTGTCGAGGCGTTGGCGAGCCACTTGGAGATGCAGCCCGCCAGCGTCGGCGTACGTGGCTCGCATGCTTACCAGATACTACTATATTTGACGGCGGGGGTGTAGGCTGGCGCGTTCTTGCGCCAGTTCTGGACTGTCTACGTCGATGGCTTGTACGAGCACGTGGTCCATGCCAAACGATTGGGGCTCGTCTTTTATGAAAATGCTGCCGATGCCACCCTTCACCCCGCGTATGTCCCACTCGAAGCTCTCAACACGCTGATGGATGTGATCCTATCTCGCGTATACTAGGCGGCGTCCGATCGAGACGGATGCGATGATGATACCTGAAGCCAGCCCAAAGCTGCGTGCATCCAAGGCCACCGCGGGCTTGCTGTGCGAACGTCCACCGTCTGCGATACCACAGAGTTTATCACCGTCGCAGGATGGGCCTGAATTGACGGCTCTAAAACGGCTCTTGACCGCCAAGGTGCGCCGGGAATGTATCAAGCGGTGGGTAGAACTATATCGAGCCAACCTAGGCAAGCACACTACGGGTCGAGCTCGTGTCCATGCAGGTCCGTGACCCAATATCATGCTACTATCTGTCTGACCTCCTGACGCTGCGTGGTAGCGCCTGCGCGAATCAATTTTTTCGTCTGTCCTCAACGCCCAAGCCATGCAACGCACCGATAAAGACAAGCGAGCACGCTTGCACCTCAGCCAGCAGATGGACCAGCACGCGTCGCTCGTACAGCGGTGCTAACGTCGCATCATTCTTCGCGTGCCATCTCGTCGGTGTAGATACGCTGAAGCATCCCCGCGCGTCGTGGCGGCAGCGACGTTGATTCAGCGCATTCTGCGACGAAAGCTCGCGATCAAGCACTGCCACTTGCTTCGTCTCCTTGACCTCATGAAGGTCAAATCCCAAACGCTCTTTGAGAAAAGCTGCAGGTGCGACCATCATTCGACGCAACCATCATTCCTAAATGGAGTCAGATGCGCGGCACGCTGGCGCTCGCGTCCGCGCCGTCGCTGGACGTCCACGCGTTGGATGCCCATTTTACGAGTATCGTATGGGAAGTCCAGCGCCTCGTGCGCGACTTGTCGCTGGATTGGTGGAAGCAAAGCTTGAGCGTTCGCTTGGAAAAATTGAAATGTAAAAATATGGACGTGTTGTCTAGGAAGAGCGCGCGCGGCTGGCGTGGGAGCTCGCTGACGTCTCAGACGACCTCAAACACGTGACCTCGCTCGTGTCGATTTTACTTCAAAACTGCACCAACTGCATGGCGCATTGCACGACCCCTCCGACGACGGTACACTCCATTTCTCGTTGCTTTTCTTGGCTAAGAGAACAATCATCGGTACAGAGTGTGTCGCGCTACGTGTCGCCAGCACCATTGTCGATCGAGTCGACCAAGCACCTCTCGACCAGATTACCCACATGAACCTGGCCATCGAGGACTGCATCAACGCGCTCCGTCCTACAAAGCCAGCCACCGCGCGGACCATCGCGATACAAGTAGGAAATATTGTCATCGGCCATCGATACCATTGCGTGACGTGGGTAGACGGAAGAAGGTCATGACCGACACCCTTCGTACTTGGAAGCGCTATCCAAGCTCGCCGCGCTCTACGAGGCCCTGCCCGACTCGGACTCGGACGACGACGAGCCGATCGTCGCGTACGGCTCGGCCGTGTTTCTCTCGCTGGTGCCACCGGCGAATGACGTGGCAACTCCAAGTGCTGACGTCTTATCGGTCGCACCAAATGTGTGTCGCGTCAAGCTCAGCGACACGAAGCGACCCAAGCGACGTCGGTACTTGGCAAGCAACACGTTGGCCAACATTCCAAAGGCGTTTGCTCCGATCTTCAAGCTTTTGGGGGTCACGCGCGGCTACAAGGCGCGGCCGCTCTCGCTGCCCAAGCTCAAACTGCTACTACATGACCTCTACAGCAGCCGCATGCACATCGAAGAGTACACGCGGCCGCTACCAGAATTTATCTACCAGTTCTTTCTGCGGAAATACGGTCTTCGCAAAGTGGCCGAGGCGCACGTCGTCGACTTGATGGCGTCGCTCAAGAAGTTTTGGCGCCACGACCCGGAGGTTCTTGATTTGTGTGTGTTTTTATATTGACATGTCAATGTAGGTCCACCTCTTCGCTCGGTTTTGCAGTCTCAAAAACACACTGCCGCTCTCGATTGATGCGTTCGACTACTTTATCTGCCTCTTGGGCCACTTGCAAGCCGGCGACAGCCAGCAGGTATAGGATGCTTTTTTGCTGCTTAGCGATACACCGTTGAACAGGCCGAGCCCGTGGTGCCGTACAGCCGCGTGCAGGGCTTGCATCGCCATGTACCGCACTCGGCCCTTAGTTAAATGAAAGAATCCGAACGATGGTGTAGGCTGTCGCATCGGTCTCTCTGTTTGAGCCACAGCGCATGCTCGAGCTGGTCAACTTCCAGCCAGGTAGGACTATCCTGCACAAGAGGCATACGTGTTGTTGAGACGAGTGATTTGAATGATAGACATGCTGCTCATGCGGCTCGAGGGGCACATTAACGACCAGCCCGATGTGATCAACGGCAAGCGCCTCGGTAGCGCTCAACACCGCATGTACGCAGACCGAATATGACACCGGGCATAGGTGTCTCGGCCGCTCATATTTACATTGACCGCCACGCCCTTCTCGCCTTGTACGTCTCTGAGTTTGAAGCCATCGAGCGCCACGTTGAGCTGTACCTCAAAGAGGTATTACTCTTCTGTCATTGTGTAGTATGAAAAGCAAGGGAAATGCAGGTGTTTGAAAATGCCGACATTGACCACAACGGCGAATTGACTCTGGACGAGTTCAATTCGATTGTGCAAAAGGTAATGATGCGTTTCAATACTGCACAGGTTGTCATCGTGATAGAGTAGATTGAACCGACACCGATGTGGGAAGCCCAGCGCATGTTTTTTGAAGCTGTTGCGCTCACGGGCAATGCGCTCGCGGACGCGGTCACGGCCGACGCCTTTATTCTCGTCGCCAAAAAGCAAGGTCTGGGCGCCCGGTCCTTCCCCGATACCCGTCGACACGCGCTCACGGCGCCTATCGCGCTCGACCATGGACTCCTCGCAAGCTATCACGCGCGGAATGCAGAGTAACTTAAGTCGACTCATGCGTGCTTCATGTCGCCTCTATTCTTGTCCGCACGGAAGACCGATGATGCGAGAAAGAGACACTCTTCGAGGGCGTGCGCTGCATGCGGAGCTTCTGCTTACCCGTCCCTGCTTGATACATGAGACGCAGCGGCGCCGCTACTTGCCTTTCCAGGTGCACGCTTGATTCGTGCCGTATCCTCGGGTCTTCCGTTCTGAACGAGATATCGGCCAGAATCCGATAGTGAGGGATGGATCGATCGATGTACGACCAAGGGCCTGTTCCGATCGTCCCACTGCATTTGGATTTTTGGCGTGAAGTCGTTCAAGAAAGCCATCGATTCAATCATGGTATAATGGACATCTATCTCTTTCAATATTGGACATCGTCGTGTCGACATCCAATGTCCCGGTACCTAGTCGGTGAGGGGCAGGGCATAGCGTGCTGCACGCGCAAGTCGGCGGTTCGTTGGTACGGTGCGCGTCTCTGGCACTGCAATGGCAAAGATGCGCCAGACCTTGATGTCCAGGGCGTAAATCACCCGGGCACGTCGGAACGTGAGGATGCCGTTGAGCACTGCGGACGCGCGATCGAGGTAGTAGACGCCGTCATGGACCCAGTGCTCGTCGGTGAAGAGGAATTTCGCTCCCGCTGAGAGGAAGAGCGAGTCGTGCGTGAGCTTGGGCGCTGAGCAGACGTGTCGAATCAGTGCATAACTTGTCATGTTGGCACACAAGACAATACCGAGCAACGTGACCAGGCGCACGAGGTCCCCGATGACAATAGTGGCACTACTGCAGACCACTTGGTAATCTACGCGCACAATGGCACAGGATTTCGCGATCGACGCGGCGTGCGTCACGGGCGAGATGCGCGTCAACATGAATACGGTGGTCCACGCCAGGATGCTATTGGGTGTCGCATAGTAGAATGCATAGCCATGGGTCGCAATCAACCCGACGTCGTTGACAACGGCGACGAGCCACGTGACTTCGGCGGCCGCGAGCAGCGTCTTGACCCAGCTCAAGGTCGGACTGCTGCAAAACGAAGCGACTGCGATCGCTGCAGCTCGAGCGTCGCGGTCGAGAGCACCGTAATTGCTGTCAAGCCGCGCACGAGCAGCAAGGGACGGCCGACCCAGACAATGGCCCCGACGCGACTCAATTCCATCATGTTCCAGCCTTCAATGCGGCCGCGGCTCAGTACAAAGTAGACAAACACGAGCGACGAGATCGTGATCATGACCACGGTCACGTAGAGCGCACCCGCCCGCGCATAGTTGGCCAACGTGATCGGAAACTGCCACGACACCACGTCCTCGCTGAACGGTGTCAGGTATTCCGAGAGCAAATTGAGCGTATGGACATCGCCTTGGAAGGACACGACCTCGCGCGTTCCAAACAACCAGTCGCAGAGGTACCACCAGCCAAACACGTAAAACGCCGGGTCGTTGGCGTCGAGAATGTTGCGGTGCAGCACGCGCATTGGCGCCGACTTGTTGTCGCCCACGTACTGCATAAGCTCAATCTTGAGCGCCTGGATCCGCTGGATCGAGCGGCTGCTGATCGCGTCCATATCCAGTGACGCCACGTGCGCCGACACGAACGCGACGCTCGCCGCGAGGTACCTTTCGCAGTGCGCTTGGTGTCCTCCATCTTGGGTGCAAATGTCAGGTAGATTGGTGCCACGCTCCGACAGGTTGGCGAGCAAGGTTGAGAGCACGATGAACTCGCGACTTGGCTGCACTTGCGTGTAGATACCGTTGGACGAGCATGCAATGCTGTACGAAAAGAGGTTGATGAGGCCCGCGACGATGCGCTGGTCGCCGCTGTCACCCGTCTGCGGGCACAGAATCGACCCGCCAAACGAGTTGACATGCAGGGCGGCCCATGCTTTTGGGACAGGGCGCACCGCATCCACGGGCTGGATGGCGAGGAAGTCGCGCTGTGCCGACTCGGAGGCGGCGAGCGCCCCCCGAATAGCGCTCAAGAGCGCGCGGACGTCGTCCAACACAGCCATCGGCGGGACCATGTACATCATGTCGACGGATCCAAACGGCCCCAAAGTCGTCGTGGCGGCTGTAAACACGTTGGTGAGAGGTAGCGCAATCGTTCCATGCTGCGCGAGTGCATCTTGCATGGAGTGGTTGGCAAAGGCGTACACGCTGCTGCCAACGACCCAGCTTTTCCCTGCGAGCAGCGACGCGTTGTGGCACACGAGCGTCCAATCGGTCGCGAGCGACCAGTACATTTTAAACGTCGATTGAAAGTCGACTTGCATCGACCCGTTGAGGTACTGCAGCGTAAACGGGTACACGACGCCGAGCGCGTTTCGGATCGCGTAGCTGTTGATGAGCCCGATTTTTTGTAGTTTTGCCACTGCGTCGTGTAGCTTGTGATGCCGTAGGAGGCCCAGTAGAAGGCTTCGTCTACGACGCTGCCATGGGGCTGCGACGCCGTCGTGGAAAGCCACGCCTGGCCTTCCATCGACGCCATGAGCGCCTTTCCAATCGCCATGTCAAACGCGTCGCCCCAGCAGTCGCGAAACGACGTCCATTCAACGTTGCGCAAGATCGACGCGAGGTACACGGCTCCATTTTTGGTCATGGAGCGACACCGCTGCTGGCGCGCGCTCGAGGTCGCCATCGACCACGTGCGATTAAAGTCGACATAGCAGTACTGCGTGAAGATCCACGGCGCGTCGCAGCCGTCGCTGCTGCGCAGCGCAGCAATCGTCGCCGCTACTTGCGTATGGAGCTCCGTGTACTGTAGCCGGGCGCCAAAATTCGCAGGCGAGACGACCGCGGCCGTCGAGAGCCCGTAAAACGTGGTGGCTGCCACGCCGCCGCTGTCGAGACGAAAGCTCGATCCAACGTTACTGGCGCCGAGGACGAGCTGCTCGTTGAACCAGTTGGCGATGAACGCGTGTGCACCCGTCATGTTGAAGGTTGCCCAGCCAAGGTCGTTGGCCAAATTGACTCTAGAGACGCTTAAATACGAGACGGACCCGGCCATGGACGCGACGACAAAGAGGACACCGATGACGGCCATCACGCGCTCATTGAGCGCCCGTTGCAGGACCGAGAAGACGGTCGACGCTGTCTCAACGAGCGCCGGATCGTGTACAGGCGCGGCTCGCTGCATGGAAGAATCCACGTCCGTAAGCGGCGCCGTGCGCAACAGCAACCGCGGTGCGAGCGTCAATTGCGGCGCGCGAAGCAGTTTCTCGGTCGACGTCGGATGGAGATCGTCCAGGATCACCCACAGTTTGAGGTCAAACGTTTTTTCCCGCCCGAGCCGCGCGTAGCCATACAGGCCGCACATGATGGCCGTGACCTTATCGACGCACCACATAGCATCCGATGTCGTGCGCGTCACGAGAAAGCAGTCGGCGGCACCCGAGAGCTCGAGCGGCGCTTGCGACAGCAACACCGGCGTAATCTTCGTGTCGCACCGCCTGTTTCTCGAGCGCATATAGTTGGCAAGCGACATTACCATTGCGACGACGACTGCGCCGAGCTGAATGCATAGTAGAACGACGAGGCGGTCCACCGACCCGATGCGGACAGCGCCGCTTTCGCAGCTCAGGGCAAAGTCGACATCGGTCGCTTGGCACGTGCGATCAAGCGTGCCGGTCATGCGCAGTGGCACGGCGAGCTCGAGGAGAACGTAGATGAGCCACACCAACGCGCAGCTCATGGGCGCGTAGACTGCCGCGAGCTTGCTCGCAATCAAAAGAAGGACATCGTTGAGGACATATGTCATCCACGTGGCTTCGCCCGCCAGCACGGCCGCGACAAGGAACGGGCGCGGCGACGACACAAACGACGTGTAGCCATGCTGAAGCACCATCTCGGTCGGCGCAGTGCTCAACAGCAGCAAGGCCGTACCGCCCCGCAGAAGAAGCAAGGGTCGGCCAATCCAAACCGCGCCCACGACGCGGTTGAACCGATATAGGTTTATACTGCGGACGTGGAACTGAATCCCGAACGCGCGCCACCAGCAGAGCGCAGCGACAAGAAGCAGCATCCACGACGTGTAGAGCACGACGTACCACATGCCTTCGGTTGCGTGTGGGACGTTTTGACTGCCGCCACTCGTCGAGTAGAGGTCGCCAGTGTACGCCGCCGAGAGCAGCACCACGGTGGACGCATCGCCTTGGAACGAGACGACCTCGCGCGTGCCCTCCACCCAGTCGTAGAGCGCACGCCACCCAAAGAAAGGCCAGCCAGCGCTTCCGCCTTCGTCGAGGAGTCCGTGTCGGAGCAGCTGGAACACGCCGTCGTCGGACGCGAATTGCATCAACCCAACATCGGTGCGGACCACGTCGGCGATGACAGTCGCCACGCTTTCGTCGCGCGGTAGCGACTGGACAATCGAGGCGGCCGCCCCAAGCGCTGTCGCACACTGTGCCGACGACTGCAAGGCGCAGGGTGCCGCCACCGATGCGAACTGGTACGCGTACGCGGCAAAGAGAAGGGGTAATGCCTCCGACGTCATCGCCAACGGCACGCTCTGCGCGCACGCGTCATGAAACTCGAACGACTCTTGCACAAAGGGCTTGCCGGTGCCGGTGTAGCAGGTGGGGTTGCCGCCGTGAAAGAGCCGCCCGGGGGCCACCCACGACGGCGGCACCGGGTGCAAGACGACATTCGGGAGAGCCTCAATCGCGTGGGCTACCGATGCGGTCATCTCACCTTGAAGCGCGGCGTGGAAGCCACGGTACAGTTGCACGAGCGACGTCGGCGGTGCAATATAATACATGTCGATGCTCGGCATCGGGCCAATCTCAAGACGCAGCACATCGCAGGGACCCGAGGGCGCGAGGAACCCGGACCACGCCTGCAAGTCGATCGCGGGCCGACTCGCCGAGAGATTCGCGTTGAAATAGTTGGACGTGCCGGCGATCGCGCTGCGGTTGATCGTCGCGAGCACCCAGAGGTCGTTGTACGGCAGCCAGTTCATGACGAGCGTGGTCCACGGCCCCGTCGCTCGGGGCACGCTCTTCACTGCGTAGGCTTGCCGCCACCCGAGGGCATTCTCAACCGTCATGGTTTCCGAGACGCCGGTGGTCCACCGGTTTTGCCACTGCAGTTCAAACCGCTCGAGACCACTGGATTTCCAATACGCGATTTCCTCGGAAATACTTGTCGCGTTGAACGCAGTGGACGTGGTGTCGAGCCACTGCCGGCCATCCGCCGACTCGAGCAAGCCGGACTGGATTCCGATCTCGAAGTAGTTGCCCCACGCGATTTGAAACAAGTGCCACTCGAGATTGCGCAGCATCGACTCGTAGTAGACGGCCCCGTTCGCCGCGTACTTGGCCACGCACCGGGCTTGGCGCGCACTGGTGTGGGCGACGTGGAAGCGCCGCTGAAAGTCGACAAAGCACAGCTGCGTGCTCAAGCGCATGCTCCAGGAGGCACTGAGCGTCCGCAGCCCCGCAATCGCGTCTTCAATCGACGTGCGCTCCGAGAGCACGAGCCGCCGTGCGTACGTTGGGTGGACCCGCGTGAACGACGGCGTGACGTTGTATGTCTTGGGCATCGACGCAGAGAGGAGGTCGAGGACGCCATGGCCATGGGTCGCGAGCGCGGCGTTGGCGATGTCGATCAGCAGCGCTTGGTGGCCGCTGAGGTTGTACGACGCCCACCACAAGTCGTTGGCGAACGACGGGGCGAGGAGCCAGAGATAGTAGCCGCCAAGACCAATCGACCCGAGAACGTACGTGAGGCCGAAGATGGCCGGGAGCTTGGGGGGTGGCGAGAGGGTGTCGTGGTGCGGCCCCAGCGATTGCACCGTCACCTTGGCCCGCGGCGCGTTGCGCGGCATGCTAGTGTACTAGTCGCGGTTTCAACGACCTATTTGGTTGGCCTTTCTCCTTGAAAAGTGACTGCGTGAAACCCCGAGCAAAACCGACAGAAGGGATTGATACTCAGGGCGCGAGTCGGTCCCAACCGTTAGTACCATGTTCCTAACCGTTCCGTTCAAGAACGGCACACTGGCGTTGACGTTGAACCCTCCAGAGCGTCTTGCGTCAGCATGATGAAAATGTCGTCGGCAACCCGGGCCGTCTGTAGCGCAGCCCAATGGCGCAGACGTACTACATTATTGTATAAGAATGTATGGTCAATGCAAACAAACCAGCTTGTGGCGACGGGTGGGGACGGACTGTGGACCAGACGTTAAGAGGGTCGCAACGCCGACGGCTGCTACTGTGTGAGCAGATGTGTGGCTACTACCGGAAAGCTTATCACCAGCGCTTGCTGCTACCTACCAGTACGTTCGTGTACGGAGTGTGTATTAACTTTGCTTGGATCGGTGGTGCACATTGGAGCAGCGTCGGCGGCTGCGAGTGTTCTTGGCACAAGGCCTATCACCTTGCGGGATGATCCAGATGTGCGTGTCGTCATGCAGGTGACGGTGACACGGCCGCATCGTGCTTTGCGGAGGAGGAGGCTCGGTTCATGGCGACTGCGACGGCACTGCAAAACAAAATCGGACGTCGGGTTGTACAGCGTAGATCGAGCCGGGACGCCAATGCCGGTACTACTGCAACGGTCTGAACGACAGCGACATGCGGGTTGTGACGTCGTACAGCTTTTCGTACGGTCCAGGGAAGTTGCCTTCTGGTGCAGCGCTCGCAGTTGATGCTGTCGCTATAACTCGCGCCGCGCGTCTATGCGCCCGTGCTGCAATGGCACGCTGCTAACATCCTATAGGGTTGAGCGCTTCCTGCCTCGTGCACGTCGGCGCGCCCGTAGACGAGCGTGATACGCGGGTGGGCGATCCGCAAGCAACGATGCAGTCACGCAGCCGGCTGGTGCCAACGTTACTCACGCTTCCAGGGCGTTGGTAGACTGTTGAGCCGACACTCCGATATCCATCCCAAGCAGCATACCATGACCAAGCGGCAGTACCCGCTACCGGCCGACTATTTTCGATGCCCGGCCCTGACGCACGACGAGCGTGCGTACTTTATCCAACTCGGCGACAAGACCTTCCACACGTTCCTCGAGAAGACGGTCACCAAGCCCGACCCGAGCCTCGAGTGGCGCTCGGCCGGGCGCCAACACGGCGTCAAGCTGCTCGAAGCACACAGCACGAGCGGCCACCGCTTTGATCATGGTACGCGGCTTCGATATTCTATTTATAGCGTAGAAAGGGCAATCTCAAAATTCGAACCCAGGCATTCTGCCCTTTCGCGCGATCGCCAAGGTCACGGGAACGATCGAGGAGGTCGCTGCGCTCCATGACTTTGACACGCGCGACAAGTGCCTCACGTACATGAACCAGTACGACTCGATGGGCGATGTCCTCGACATCATTCCGCTCTACACGTTCATCGAGCGGTCGGCGGACCTGCCGTCGCTCCATCAAGTGTACGTCAAGTGGGTCGCGTGCGCAAGTCCCGTGCCCATGATCCACGACCGCGACTACCTCTACATTGAGACCCAAAACGAGTTTATTCTCGAGTCGGGCCAGCGCGGCTGGGCCTACTGCCAGCACTCGATCACGCTGCCGTCCGTGCCACCGCTGCGCAACCACACGGGCCTCAACCTCGTGCGCGGGTCCCTCTACCACACGGGTTGTGTCTTTCTCGAGTCCGAGACGCCCGGTGTGCTCGAGGTGACGTACCACATTGCGTCCGACTTTAAGGGCGCGATGCCGCAGTGGGTCCGCCGCCTCGGCCTCAAGCGGCGCGCGACCAACGTGGCCAAAGTCAACGATTTCATCCACGAACAGCGCCTCAGCGCGTGCCGCATGCGCACGCAGCTCGAGTGCCGGCCGACGCTCCACTCGAAGCACTGCCACCTCTGCGACCGATCGTTCGCGCTCCGCCGGCCGCGCAACTGCCACGCGTGCGGCGAAGTCGTTTGCTCGCGTTGCTCCAAGCCGTGGCGCCTCAGCGGTATCTTCCGGCTCGGGCCCGCGACCGTGTGCGTCTGCCACGCGTGCTCGTCGGCGGTCCGTGACGGCACGTCGCTGCATTTCAGCGCCACCGACGGCGATGCCATTGCCGAAGAGCAGGATAATGACGACAACCATGCGGACGACAACGATCGGCCGTCGATCATCATCATTTCGTCCGAGCCACCGCCGCGCCAGTCGTCGCTGAGTCGGCGCTCGAGCTTCTCGCGGGCCCGGCCGTCGATCCAGCCGTCGCGCAAGCCGTCGCGGCGCAACTCGATCAAAGGCATGTTTCGCCCGTCGACGTCGACCATCTCATACGTCTCGTCGTCCAACGAGCCGTACGTCACGAGGATGCACCAAGATTTCCTCGATGTCGCGTCGACGACCGAGACCGTCGACCTCACGCGGCTCAAGAAGCAGCTGCAAACCAAGCACGAGCACGATGCTCTCGAAGCCATGTACCGGCACATGACGCCCGGCCTCGATCGCTTTGTCGACACGGGCAGCGACGTCGACTGGACGCCAGAGACGACCAAGGACGAAGCCCAGCGCGACTCGTCGCCGTCGACCGTCGACTTGAGCTACCTCAACGAGATCTACCGCCACACGTTGTCGTCGTCGCACGCAGACAGCGACTCGCGCTACTCGTACTGGGAGAGCGAGCCGCCCATTCTCGACTACCGCAAGTCGCGCGTGTCCGAGTACGACCCATCGCGCCGAAGTGCATACGATGAACTCAACGCGCTCGTCGACGACGTGGAAGAGTCCAAGGAAGAGACGGCCGGCGGCGGCTTCCGGGTCCACGCGCCACCGGGCACCACCATGTACCCACTCCCGACAAAGGCGACGCCCGAGGCACCCGGTGTTCCCGCACCAACGGGTGCGACGCTCTACTCGATGCGGCCCGTCCACGACAGCTATGGGTTTGCGACGCCGTTTACAATTGCCGAGGAGGCCATGGACTCCCTCAAGTCGTCGACGGTCGTCAAGCAGTACGAGCTGGACGGACTTGAACTCACGGACGAGTCGGCGCTCTCGAGTCTCAACACGAGTCGGTCGTACCAAGAGAGCGTGCTGCAGCAGTCGCTCGACGATGACATGCCCACCAGTGCCGCCGACGACGGAATCCCATACAAGCCCGTCGTGTCCAACCATGAAGGTGTCCGACGGCTCCTCGCCGAACTGGCCAAGCAACAACAACAGCAACACTAGTCACGTGTTATTTAAGCGGATTCTCCGCCTCAAGGTCTGGGAGGGTTAAAAACCACAAAATAGCAAACGCACTGGACGATCGCGAGTCTAGTAACCCCATCTATCATTTGTGCAAAAATGTCGTTCAAGAGTACAGCAACCCTACTATATCAAGGGATTTCAAGTGCATGTATGTACCTTTGATGTCGTCGATGTACAATGTAATACCGCACTGGTTCGAGTGAGCAGTCGTCTGCACCAAGACAGGATCAGAAAATATTCAGAACCGAGGGAAAAATTGTGTTATCTATTCCCTTGGTCCTCGCAGAAATCGCCGAGACAATATCAGACGATGTTCCACACAAAAACCTACTTGGCAGGTCCCGCAATGACGTGGTACAACTCGGTCGTCGCCGGATGCAACGTCTCGTGCGTGCGGACTTGGGCGTCGGTGGCGAGGACGGCCCAGTCGACATGGTAGAGCCAGTAGACGCCATAGACCGCACAGCAGAGAAAGGCCACCGACATCCCAATCCAGAGACCGACAATGCCGCTCGAGTTGGCATAGGCGAGCGCGGCACCGAGCGGGAGACCAATCCCAATGTACGCGACACCATTGAGCACCGCACCTAGACAGAATCAGATCTCTGCGCAGTTTTGTGATAAAAGTAGACCGCGGGTCTGCTGGCCCGTGCCGCGAAAGATGCCGTTGATCGCGGCGTAGACGCCGCAGGCTGCCTGGAACGGCGCACAGACGAGGAGGAGCTGCGACGTCAAGTAGACAACGGCGAGGTCGTTCGTATACGTGTACGGGTACGAGAGGCGCAGCCAGACCATGAGGAACGCCGCGCCGAGGCCCAAGGTGCCGCAGATGCCGACCGTCTGCCACGCCACGACCTTGGCGCGCACCGGGTCGTTGGCCCTATCAAAGCAGCGTCTCTTGCAACCTACTTTCCATTACGGCAACAGCATTACCCGAGCGCGTTGCCAACGCGGATCGAGCCCGCGACCCCGATCGGACCGTAGACCATGTAGAAAAAGCCGCGGAAGGAATGCATGCACGCGTCAGCGCTGATGGCGGTCTCGCCGTGCGGCAAATTGCCTATAATCAATCGAGTCTTATGGTAAAACAGTCGTCGTACCGGCGATGATGGACGTGAGCGCAATGCCCCATAGCTCAAACCCGTGCATGGCGGCGCCGGCGATCCCAAGTGCAAGCACTTCGGGCACGAGCGCCATGGCGGCGACGAGGTCCCAGCCGCGCCACTCGGTCGTGTACAACGACGTGCGCATCATGTAGGGCACCAGCAGCAGCGGCGAGAGCAGCCCCATGATGCTAGCCCCGACCGCGCGGCCAAGGTACCCGAGCGACGTGTGGAACATAAGTACGTAGTTGATGCTGAGGTTCAGCGGCACACACACAAGGGATACGAGCGTGAGCGGTGCAACAATGTTTTGCCCTAGACAGCATCATTGCAACGGGTGGTACGGAGCTCGAGACGAACCCTGCAGCACGCGGCGCAGGAGGTCGTAGAAGAGGCAAAGCGGCAGCGCGGGTAACATGATGGTCACGAGGTTCGAAGCAAGGTCCGCAACTTCGTCCGACTGCCCGAGCAGCAAGAGACACTCTTTGGCAAAGAAGCCCAGCGCGAGCATCGGCGTGAGGAGAATCATACCCTAATGATACGACGATGCATGAGGATGCGCTGCGATGCGATGGCGATAGACCGCGAGCAAGCCGGCTTGAAAGACGAGACCCATGTCCTGCGACTGTCCGGCGCCGTACGACTGCGAACAGAGCGTGTCCATGGCGGCGCCCGTGCCCCAGATGACGGTCCACGACGTCAAGACGAGAAAGGTCGTGGCCATCGCGATCGCGGAGATGTACGCTTTGCTGTACTCGCTGCTGAGGTGGCCCATCATCATGATGGGCACAACGCCAGCGACATGATCGAGCGCCGAGCTAAGGACCTACGCAACGATGGCGTGGTGTGCGCGCAGTTAGGATGGTCGTACCAGCGGGAGTGCCAGTAGCAGGAGCGACTGGGCCTCATACAGCCATGGACGGGCAGGCTTGGTGGTTTTGCATGGGCCAAGCAGCGGGCTCGCCTCGTCGAGCGAGCGCACCTTGGCGTCATGCCCCGCGAAGAAGCTCGTGAAGAACGACATGGAAGCCGCAAGTGGTCACGATGGAAGATCGCAAGTTTGCGTTCGAAAGATTTCGCCGCTTTTGATTGGCCATTTCAAAGTCATTTAGACCAATCATACATGCAAAACGTGGTTTATTGGTGGAGCGCCCTGAATTTTGGCCAATAAATAGTGCGCCATAGCCAGGCGTTCGTCAGCCAACGCTGGCCTCCTCCGCGGCGACGTGGCGCCAAGAAGCCACTTGTGCTGGTCGCATAGAAGGCTGCTGACAGAGTTTCCTCATGTATCGACTCACGAGCGTGAAAGCCTGTGTAGACAGGTATGCCGTACCAAGGTGATTTAGCACGCACAACGAGGTGCGGCCAATCAGGACAAGCCGGGATACATACCGGCATGCAAGGCAGCCTCCTCCCGCCCGTAGTGCGAGCAGGTATCCATGAGACGACTTGGTGCGAAAGCATGACTGCCACCACAGGGACGATCGCCATCGAATCGCACCAGTGGAATCATATCGTACCTTGCATGTATCGCCTCGACGTCGACTGCAGACGCATGAAGCGAGAGCAGGTCGATGCTGCCACCCAGTACCTTGAACCATAGTACCGTGATGGTTGTTTGCAGCATGCAAGGTGGGCGCATTGGGATCCTTCCGCGCTCGGTGCGGCGAAGGACTTTGCGCCAAACGGGCGAGCACCGTGCTATGCAGTCAGGTGTGGCATTGCCGACCGTCGACCCTCACGCTAGCGCTGGTATTTCGTGCAGATAGTACCAATTGAATGTAAATCGTGTGTTTGAGTGTGAGATGAAGGACTCTTGAAAAGGATTTGAGTTGTGAATAAAAGAGAGAAGTTGGAGAAGAGGTCGTGATAAACTCGATGCGCTGTTGCCACGAGTGTCCGGATAAATGAGTGTCAATGACGTGTATCCGGCTCCAGCTGGCGCGAAATTCAAATTGCGTAGAGTTGCGACAGCGGCCGACTTTGTTGGTGAGTCAAGGACGAAGTCAGCCATGGCGCTCGCGATCGAGCTCAGCAAGGACTACTACACGACGGGTGACGCGCTCTCGGGTCGCATCCACGTCACGTCCATCCCTGACGACGCCGCTTTTGGTGCTCATGGCATAGCCCGCACCACCACTCACATTGTGTTGTAGAGCTCGTTTTGACGCTGCGCGGCAAGGAAAAAGTCGTCGTTGCAAGCCACCCCACAGGGGCCAAGGCGACGCCCCCGACAACGCACCGCCATGTTTTCTTTGAAGACACGGTGCGACTCATGCGCACGATATTGCGCATCTCATCCAGCGAACGCTAGCTGCTTCACACGCCAATTACGACCGCACCAGCGTCGTTTGGCTTCGAGTTCGAGTGGCCGGAAGAGCTCCCAGGCTCGTATGAGAACGTCCGACACGCGGCGCTGCGGGCCAAGATCCAGTACAAACTTTGCGCGCGGCTCATGCGGCGGGGCGCGACGATGGCGTCGGTGACGCGCCCCGTCCTCGTGTACGGCTCTACGGCCTATGTCGCCAAACCTTTTTCCGACAACCAGTCGCAGAAAATTCTCTTCCTCAAGTGCCTCAGCCAAGGCCGCTGCTCGGTGGAAATGACACTCGACAAAAACGTCTATGCGATTGGTGACTCGATCCAGGTAGTACTCTTGCGGATCGATCCACTCGGTCTCGATAGATAGATGAATGTTGATGTGTTAGATCACGGCCGACATTCAAAACACGTCCCGGCGTCGGGTCAAGTGCATCCAGTACGTCTGCACGCAAGACGTCCATGTGCAGTGCGGCCCGTCGACGCGCCTCTTTTCGTGCGACGTGGGCCAAGACACGCGCAGCGGCCTCGCGCCCTACAAGAGCGTTCTGCGGACCGACACGTGCGACGCGCTGCGCAATCAAATGTATCCGAGCACCAAGGGTTCGCTTCTGCGGGTCGAGTATGCCCTGCACATCATCGTCGAGATCCCAGCGTGCCCGAATGTCGAGCTCACGCTGCCGCTCATCGTTGGGCCGCCTAAAGCGTCGTCCATCTTTGCACCGCCACCAACACCACTACATCGAGGCAAGGGGTTCCGCACGGAAGATGCCGCATAGCACACAACACACAACACGTAATCGATATGCAAACACTGGACAGTCTTTATAGGGACAGCCTTGGCCGTGTCCACAGGACGATTGCGACGGCGGAGTGTCGCGTGGAGAGACACGGAGCGAGCTTCGGGATCATGTAAAGTCGGTCGACGACATCAATTAATTTGTGATGAGACAACTTGATCTTTCTGTGGTAGTGTACGAGTACGCAAACTGTTGAGAGCACGGTCTCGTGGTACGCCTTGGGCCTCACAACATGGACGATCGATAAGGTCAAGTTGCGATCAGAGGTGGCCAAAGTCAAGGCTTCTTGCCACTCTTATCTGCTCACATACAAATTATGTACTTGTTGATATTGACAGCAACATTGTTTTGGTTGCAGGCTTCGTGTTTCCTCGTTTGCTCTCCAAAGACCTTTGCTTTGCTCTATAAAGACCTTTGCTGTGGTAGAGCGATCCGGCAGCGTCGAGGTCGCTCTCGCAAGTTTCAGACTCGACAAGAAGTGACGAGGCTTGCGGTCATCGTCGCCGAATGCGCATTCGCGCTCTCAACGTGCCACGTGGAGCGATGACCCAAGTTCGGTGCCGGTGTTTATTCGGATACGCATTGCGTTGAACCGTTTAACGCAAGTGTATCCGGTCGCATCCGTAAAACGTTTAACCGTCGACGGGTTTTACGTAGCCGTATGGTCTGCATGTGGGTTGAAGTCATGCGAAGGCGGCGCGTGGATTGGTGCATTAAATCTGCATTTCGTCCAATCCGCGACAGCGTCTTCCGGCACCATGGCCGGCAACCTGTCATATCGGCGCTTGTAGCACCAGCAGCACCATGCAGCAGCAGCAGCAGGACGACGACGGCCCGCTCTCGAACCCGATCAAGACGCGCGTTGGTAGCCCCGAGCCGGCGCCTGGGCGCAAGAGCTCCATCGCGCGCGACCCCAAGCACTCGCTCGCCGACGCCACGTGCTTGATCCTGTACACGGGCGGGACCTTTGGCATGGCGCCCGACGTCGCCGGCGTCCTCCACCCCAAGAGCGGCTTTCTCGAGAAGAAGGTGCGCGAGATGGACGAGTTCAAGTTTGGTGGCATGCCCAAGGTCACGATCATCGAATGGGCCGAGCCGATCGACTCGTCCGACATGACGCCGACCGACTGGAGCAAGATCGCATCGACGATCGAAGAGCACTACTGGGACTACGACGGGTACTCGGATGCTCCAGCACGCGCCTACATTGATGGCATGCTAGGTTTGTCGTCTTGCAGGGCACGGACACGATGGCTTACACCGCGTCCGCGCTCTCGTTCATGCTCGAGAGCCTTGGTACAGTCCCCATCTCCTTCACATCATCTTCTTATGGCGTATGTAGGCAAGCCGGTTGTCGTCGCAGGCGCCATGATTCCGCTTCACTTTCCCCACAGTGATGCGCGACGGAACCTCATCATGTCGGTCATTTGCGCCGCGACGCTGGACATCCCCGAGGTACATACCCATCGGTAACCATGCGCCATGTACGATGCATCTGAAGGTGTGCATCTACTCGAACGACAAGCTTCTGCGTGGGAACCGCACGACCAAGATCGCCAACATGTCGGTCGACGCGTTCCATTCCCCCAACTTTCCCTTCTTGGCGTCGACCGGCGTCGAGACGGCGATCGAGCACGGCCTCATCCTTCCGTACCCGCGCCGCCGGTACAATTCTCCCTCGCCTCTCAGAGACTCATCGTACGGTGTGCATGTACATTAGCTTTAGCGTCTTTACGAACCTCCACACCAACATTTGCGTCTTCCATCTCGTGCCCGGCTTTGACGATGACTGCATCACGGCCTACATTGAGCGCCACAACCGAGAGGCCAACCCGTCGAGCAACCCCAAGGCCATGGTACGACCTCGTTTCCTATCGAGACATGGCAATGAAAATGGAAAACCATAGGTCTTTGCTCTCTATGGCACGGGCAACGCGCCGCTCAAGAAGGACGGCTTCTTGAGCGTGGTTCAGAACGCGCTCAACTCGGAGATTGCGGTCGTTGTCACGACGCAGTGTCTGCACGGCCGGTATCTCTCGATCCGTCTTCTGTCCCTTGATACATTGACTTTTCTGCTAGAACACAATTGGATACGTATGCGACCGGCGTCAAGCTGCTCGAGATGGGCGTCATCACGTCGTACGACATGACGATCGAGAGCTGCGTCTCCAAGCTCGCGTACCTCATGGGGAAGGCTTCCGCGGCATCGGCCTCAAGGAAAAGATGGAAACGGTAATCCTTCGACTTGATACTTGATCGATACAAGAAATATGATGCTGTAGGACCTCCGTGGCGAGCTCTCGGTCGTCGACCACGCGAGCGAGGATCTGAGCCGGAACCAGTCGAGCAATCGCAAGACGGTCAAGAAGCTCCTCGGCCATTAGACATGATGATATTGCATCTTCATCCATGCGTCCACTTGTTGTCCTCCGAGTTTCGAGTTTTTAATTAGTGTACAAAGCACAGCAATAGACGAGCGCGGACCTGGGAAGGGCCATGCCAGCACAATAGACTAGCCCTAATACCGTAGCAGACTAAAGTAGGGGCTGTGCAAATGGCTCCTTGCTGGGCAACTCCCCCTTCACGATTTCGCGGGAAATAACGCGCTTTCATTGGCTAGAAATCGAGGTTTTGTGCAAAGTTCAGCCCGTTGCCATACCCATCCAAACGTTGTTCATAGCGCCCAGAGTCTCGTCGTTCAAGACGGCCATTCTCGTGCGCGGTCTTCTTGTTGTGTGCTGCTCTGTTCCGGCGGCTTGTGGCAGCCGAGGTGGTTGGAAGGCTGGTTGGGGTTGCATTTGTCAAAAAGCAGCATATCGGATTGGTCGAATTATAGCCAATCGTATTGATCGGTCTTTGGCTTAAATTTTAATGTCATTATAATGCATGTTCACCTTGCATTTGTATGCTAACGTGTTTAAAAAGACGTTGCTTTTCGCATGCGAAGCGTTCAGTTGCCAATTTGACCGAGTCCGCGATGACGGGGCCGCGATCGCTCTTCGCGGGGATGAAGTTCCATGTGCAGAAGCGGACGCTGGCGCGGGACAAGGCCGAGGAGCTCATCAAGGTACCTCCATGGAGGCGACCCATGCGCTCAGGATGGCGTAGGAGCATGGCGGCGAGGTCGTCGACGAGAACGTCGAGGGGCGCATCCTCCTCATGGACAACCAGCGGCTCGAGAAGCATGCAGACGACCACCTGAATGTCGACTACATCTACGAGTGCGTCAAGAAGAAGATGCTCATCGACCGCGACCCCTTCATGGCGCCGGCGGATTGGGCCGGCGACGACGGCAGCGACAACGACAACGACGAGCCCGAAGCACGCCCGAAGCGAACACGCTCGCCGTACACGCTGCCAGAACAGGCAGCCATGCTCCAGTTCAAGCGGGTATCGTCCTCCTCTACCATGATCGTGGTCTCTCATCTCACGGTGTAGGACATGCACCTCAAGCTGAACCAAAGCCACGGGTGCCATCGCAAGTTTTGGACCCTTGCGGCGTCCAAGAAGGTCCAAGACAGGTCATGGTTCTCGACGACTTAAAAGGCATGCGCTAGGTTACAAACCGTACGATGGAGAGCATGCTCGACCATCACAAGAGAAGACTCATGCTCATGACATTGCCGCAACTGCGCGAAATCCTTACCCATTTCAAGGTACGATGGTTCTTGTTCGTGTGCACTTTAATTGAATGCAACGATGTCCTAGGGCTACGCCGGAGATCTGGAAGGGAGCAACGACGACGATGACAACGATGGTGGTGACGCGGCGGCGGCTCGGCCGACAAGAACCCCGTTGCCCGTCGAGCCTGTTAAAGCACCGCGAGAGGCGTTCCGCGGGGAAACACCACGAGCGGTGTCGCGCAAGCAACCCCACCGTACGTCCCGCGAGCGACGCGTACCTCTTGACGAATCTGAGGGCGAAGATTTCACCGACAAAGAAGTGCCACCGCCCATGTTTTCGACGCCCAAGAAGTCGACGCGACTCAAGCGCTCGCAGCGCAGCAGCCACTCGAGCGGCTCCGAGTCCGATACCGACGTCGTCACGCGACCCAAGAAGCAACGCGTCTCGGCGCGGGCGGTGCTTAGCGACGAGAACAATCAAGACGAAGATGAAAATGCAGAGAATGACGACGAGGGAGACGACGACGGTGTGGTGCCCGACAGCCAGCAGTCGCACGACAGCGCGGCTACGATCGATGACGCGACGCAAACCGAAGAGGCACCGGACGCTGCGGAAGCCCCACCCGCGAGCAAACACGCGGCGAAGAAGAAGAAGGCGGCTGCACCGTCACCTGTGCGTCCCAAGGCATCGAAGAGTCTTGGCGCCGTTGTGCCGCGGCACAAGCACACGATGCGGCCCATCGTAGTACCCGGTGTCGTCGCTAGTCCGCCGGACCTCGCACCGTTTCCGATGTCTGCGCCGACGACGCCCGCCCAGCTCCGCGCGCTCCGCAAGTTTATGTTTCTGCACTCGGGCATGCCAGATGACGCGATCGATCATGCGCTCTACTCGTCGTGCGGCAACCCCGTCTTGGCGCTGCGCTATCTTCGAGGCAGCTTGCCGCTGGGTATGTCGAGTGCGTGTTGCGAGATGCCTCAATTGCTTCTGGATGTAGGCTGCTGGACGCCGGACGATGACAGCTGGATTTACGAAAACATTTCAGTGACGTCCCTGACGCTGGACGTAACGGACGAGGCGCTCACGGCACTCATCGAGACGGCGCTGCGCTCGGCCAAGCCAACGCGCCCGCACCCGCTCGAGATGGTCATCGAGCGTCTTCGCTTTCTGGTGCGAGAGCTCAGTATGGCGCCGGCCCCGGCATCGTGAGTCGCCTTGGTGCGTGCATGCAGCGCCATCGCCAGAGCATTCGCCCACGTCCAAATGCGCGGCGGGCATCTTTTTGCGACGAGGCGCAGAGGCCGCAAAAGTTGTATTTTACTAGTTGAATCGTTTAGCACCCTTTAGCACTTACTACTTGTCGCGTTGAAACAAGTGGACACCGAGCAAGTCAGGATACCAAACGCTCGCAATGCGCACGTCACAGCAAGTAGTGGGATGACTCGTGCAATGTCTGGATCAAGGCGAGGAGGCATGTACAGTACTACTGGCTAGTAGGCCCAAATCAGCCGTGGCCCGACCAATGTAGAGGTGGAGGTTCATATTTATCATTTATCCATCGTCCTTCACACGCTGCGCGCATGCAATGCCATAATGTGAAGCCGACAAAGTATCAAAGTATCCACCGACGGCGGTCAGCGCAATAGTTTTTTGCCCAGCCATGTGTGCCGAAAGCTCGCGCGGGGCTCGATCGCGAGCTCGTGGGGCTCGGTCGCCAACGTGTGCTTGAGGTCGAGTGTCCGCGTCGAGTCGGACAGTCGACTCGTCGAAACGCCGGAAGCGGTTAAATACGTCGTGCTCAAGGTAAAGTCGGCCAAGTCCGGTGTCAAGTCTTCGCTCCGCAAGCTCGACGTCATGGCGTCTAGCATCGACTTGGACGACTCCATGGCCAGCGCAGGGGCGTCTATGCATAACGTGGTCCGATTTGTTCGCGGTCGAGGAATACGTACAGTCGCGGCGCGAAGAGGACGCTGTGAGATCGTCGACCATGTCAAAGGGGTCTTCAATGCAAGCGACGCAGCCCTGGCGCTTGGCCGAGTGGCACTTGCTGCAGACGACCTACAATGCCGTCGTCAGCGCCTACGACCGAGAGCAAACAAGCGTACCTGGCCGCAAAGGTGGCAGTTGATCTTCTTCATGAGAACATGGAATTTCGTCGCACAGAGTGAGCACTCGGCACACGTCTCTGTTGGCGTCATGCTCTAAACATCACGTGCGATAATGAGCTGTCGTGGGTCAGATAATATTGATGTATACCACTTGAAACGTCGAGAGTGCCGTTTCTTGGCGTCGCAGATCGCGAATGTGCGCTTCGATCTTTGTAAAGTCGAGTGCCGCAGCTTTAATCGTGTGCTTGGCCAGCCAGCGCGGCGCTGTGCCCTTGAGATCAAATTCAAAGCGCTGGTACACGTCGAGGCGCCCGGGCGTGTCGGTTTCGGACACCAGGACCCTACCCACAACGACGGTTTCAAACCATTCTGATCCGTTCATTCGCACCCCGAGTGGTAGAGCGACCCGCGTACAAAGTTGAGGGCGTGTTTGAGGTCGGGGCAGCTAGGAATGCGCACCGAGTGCTGTGCGAGTGCCCACGCCTTGTGGCCAGAGGGCAACGTGAGATGCTTTTGCATCTATGCCAGTATCGTTAGGAGACAGGGTAGGAGGAGTAGGAGAGTGTACCTCGAGGACACAAAAGTCGCGGTGGTGCACGAGCGCTGAGCACTCGCACGCAAACCAGCGCACAACAACGTGCATCTCGGGTGTCGAAGCGACGACGTGAAGGATCGTCGAGCCCAGAAGACCACCCGCGTACCCGTCCATGGCGTCCGTAATGTGCACGTCCGTGAGGTTGGCAAGGACCGACTCGACCTCAGAAAGGTCCGCGGCTACGGTTGCCGAGTCATGGTAGCAGACGCTCCGCGCTTCCCGCGTCGCGCCCGAGCCTGCGACAGCGAGGAACGTGTCGAACGTGCGCTGAGCAAGCTCCAGAAGATGGTCTTCTTCGTCCGGCAAGAGCGGTGACGGATGGCGAAACACGGGCGACGACCTGATTTGCGTGCGCACATACTGCCGGGTCTTGACGTCGGGCATGCTTGTCGAATTGAAGTTTGAAGGCAAAAGAACTCGGACGTGGGACGATCGAGGAAGCATGCGTTGAGATCGGGATGAGATTCGGGGGCTGGCGCATACACGTGGCGTGACCTTTCGCACACACTTGCCAGATCGATTTGCGCTACGACGACGAGTGCTGTGTCGGATGGTTTTCTAGTCGATTGGTCAATATCGTCTGGTGATGATGACCTAATGGACCGGCAAGGCCAAGGTACTTGCGTAAATACGGCGTCCTGAGAGCATGGGATGCCGCCAACATTGAGAGACTGTGCAGCAGCATTTGCTGTTTATAATCAGACGAAATCGAGAGGAATCACTAGTCGACCCTCTTCCGCGTGCTACGCAGGTGGCGTTGGCTTCTCAAGCGAATACATGTTTTGCAAGCAGCAGACTGGGATGCTGTATCAAGGCGACATCATTGGCTGTACTTGCCGTCTTCTACGCAATGTGAATGTCGGCGTTTGTTTCAATGGCTGGTTGGAGCTCGCAGCGAAGGTTCCCGAACACATGTCCATCTCGGCGTGTAAGAGCTGAGTGTCCTGGATCTGGACACACGAGATGAACAACCGAGGACATTGCACAATCGTCGTTGGCCGCGGAGTACATGCTGCGATGACGTCCTTGCCATCATGCACGACCGCTCACAATCGTGGCGGTGCGTCGACACGGAGTGGAACGTGCTGCGCTGGGAGCGTGCCACGATAACCTTTGATAATGCATATGCATTCACCACATGCAATGCTAGAGTTTTACACGCGAAAGAAATGTGGGAAATGATTCTGTGTGTAAAATACAACCTTGCTTGTGGTCAGGTCAGGTCTCATCCGACCAGTCGCGGGTTGTGCGGAAGAGGAAGACCTCTGCGTGCCAAGAAGCGCCTCGTGACGCGGAGCTCGTACACCCTCCTATGACGCAGATCCATAAACTGTGGGCTTTGAGTTGTCGCCGGGACCTACAACTAATCGCCTGCGTGCAACGTGAATTCGCCAGCAATTGTCTTAGATAAGTCGTCCAGATCCTTGAAGCGGGGCTGCAGGTTCAAGGTCCACGAGGGCGCTGCACACCTCACACACGCGGCGCACCGATCCGATCCAAAACATTTACGTGCGTTGTTTTCCACGTGTTTTTGGACCAGCGATTTATCATCCCTTGGCACTAGATGGGGCGTACCAGTGGTGGGCTTCTGGGCTGTCAAAAATCGTGTAAAGAAGTTGAGAGGCCTTGGGAATATATTGTTCAGCTCGTATTACAGCGTGCTTAAAGCCTGCTTGGATGAGGACGGACATACTCTAGACATCCTCGCACACTAATAGTCATCGCGCCGCATTTTGCAGCGTGGACGTGTTCTCGTCCGCGACCAGCCAAGGGACACTGTACTTGCTTCCGGCAATTCCTGTCCCACATATACACTTGACAACTCCATGAAACGTATCAAATTAATATTCGAGATTGCAACACGTTGTACTATGTTTGGTATGTCGAATTGCGTTTGAATAAAATACAGGAAAAGAAAATGCCCTTCAGCAAAGTTCGCGTCCAGCGCAACCAACGGCAATCTCACGCCAGTTGCAAATCTACCAGTTCTGAGTGGCATGCGCTTCCGCCCCGACTTTTACCCATCGGTCTCACCGTCCCAGCACGAGCACCTGCGGCTGCTGGCCAAGAAGTCGGTCGCCGACCTCCTTCAAGTGGCCGCGACCTATGACGGATTAGGCGCCCGCACGCGCTTTGAGATGCTGCCGCCGCTCCACGGCAACCCGGACGTGCAGTCGATCTGCGGGACCGTCACGCTGCAAGCGTCACTAGAAGACATTGAGGCCATCATGCAGTGCCACGTCGCCAACACGGCCGAGAGCCAAGCGTTTGCAAAGACCGTCGAGACGCACGTCAAGGCATCGGCGCTCCTTCTGCAGCTGAGCCCGAGCATGACGATCAACTGGGCCATGATCGAGTCGCAGTCGTCGGTCATGCGGCACCGCGACTTTGTCTACGTGCAGAGCCGTGAGCACAAGGTCATTAACGGCGTGGACACGTGGGTGTCGTGCACGCATTCGGTCAAGATTGACGGCTGCCCGCCGCTCGACGCGTCGCTCGAGCTCGTGCGCGGCGGCTTGTACGCCTCCGGGTATGTTTTTTCCGCACACCCAAGTGAAGGCACTGTGCGCGCCACGTATGTGCTCTCGGTGGACTTTAAAGGCCGGACGCCCCATGCGTGGACATCGACGACGCTCAAGAACTGGTGCCACGCGCTCTCGCGCATGCAGAGCTTCTTTGATGCGCGCCACGTCGGCCGTCTCTCGAGCTACGTGCGCAGCGACATGGAGGTCAAGTCAATCAAGGACGTCGCGTACTGCCACGTGTGCGGCGGGGAATTTTTGCGTGGACGAAGAAGGACAATTGCCGCATTTGCGGCGAAGTCGTGTGTCCGTCCTGCACGGAAAAGAAGGATGTCGCGTTGCCGTCCGGCGTCAGGAAGCTCGCCATGTGCACGGTCTGCTTGCACTCGAAATTTGAGCCCGAGAAGCTCTCGCCACGCCTGCGCCAGAGTCGGTCGTGGCCCGACGAGCAGAATAACGCGCGGCCGCCGCGGCCGCAGCGCTGGAGCCAAGCGCGTGTCTCGACCGATGCGCTCGACATTGGTGACTTTACCGTGCCCCGGTCGCGGTCGCTTGTGGTCCACCCGCCGGTCGAGCCCGAGCCGGTTGTTGCTGTTGTTGTTGCCAAGGAACGGGCGACGAGCCATCGGCGGTCGCGTCAGCGGTCCGTGGACCACGCGTCCTATGAGGAAATGCAGCGCGTGTGCCAACCTCGACTGTCGTTTGAAGCCGATGGCGACGTCGATCTCTTCGACAAGGTCTTCTAGTCGCCACAAATATCGATGCTATTTAACCCACATATTTCCTGTTTGATCAAGCGTCCGATTTCGTCCCCTCGGCTATAAACGCAAGTGCATGGGGGAGACGAACGGGGATCGTGTTGGGAGGCCGCCGCCGCCCAAGAAAGGATTGGTGGGTGGGTTAAATGATCGTTGAGCAGGACGTTGTCGATCCTATTGCGTTGCGCGGCAATGACGATGTCCATTTGCTCAACTGCCGCAGTTGCTGTTCGCTGCGGATGTCGAGCCACGACTGGACGCCGTGCGGGCTTGTACCTAAATGGAGCGTCAATCCGACTTGAGTGTCACGAAACGCACCTCTCAAAGTACTAACGTGACCCGACGGCAGGTCGAGGACAGGGTCCTCATCCTCGTGTGCGAGGCACTCGACGCAGATGTGGTGCTTGTCGAACGGCAGAGCGCACGCGCCACAGAAGACCTAGTAGCACGTTTCGTGAACCCGCTTGCGAAACGGAGCAAAGGCCCTTACCTCGCCGCAGTTGCTACAGCGCACCTTTTGCCGAAAAAGGCCAAACTGGCGCGTGCAGTACTGGCAGTGCTTGCGCTCGTCTGCGCCACCGGTTCGCGACCCGCAGGTGCCGCCTTCGCCTTCGAGTCGCCGCGCGGCAAGAAAGTCCGGGATTTTCGCTACACTCCGCGCTCGACGCGCCATGAGAAACGGGTACAGCCACGACGGTGCCCAGCCCTTGACGTCGAACTCGAGGTGCAAAAATAGCACCAGAACACCTGGTCGACTCGGGTGCTCGACGTACAACAGCCCGAAATGGTACATCTGGCCTCGACGGTACCGCACCGTCGATAACAGGTCCGGACAGCTTGGCACCTTGACCGAGTGCTGGACAAGACCCCACGCACGCTGCCCGGACGGCAACGTCCATCGGTTTTGTAACTATGACGGTTTCATGTGAGCCGTCTACAGGCAAGACGACAATGGTATCGACAGCATACCTCGGCGACGCAAAAGTCCCGGTTGTGCA